GATCATGTACCAGGGTGAGGTTACTGGGTGGCATTGAGCCCCATTTCCTGGTGATCCTTCCTGTGGACTGAGGTACTGAAGGGGCAGCCATACCCAGGGTCTTTTCCATCTATGTAAACACAGGGCAACATCATCTAGCCTCACCATCTCCCACCTACCACCTTAACAGGCCTTTCTTTGGTGCAAGTTATAGCCCATATGAGTTAGTCTCCACACTGCAGAGGTAGAGAGCTTACTCCTTGGAAGTTAACCAGTGTCGGCGAGAGTCATACTTATCATCTATCTCAGGGGACCTCCCCAGTGAGTCTCATTGTGGCCATCTCCCAAAAGATAGGGGGCCCCTGGAAGGCAACTACCGTATCTATTTGATGCTTGTCACTCTACCATATGGCATACAGTAGGCTATCAATAAATGTTCCTGTCATTGAACTTGAATTGAAATTTGTCTATAACCTGTATGAGGCACAGCCCTAAATCCCCCCAAAATGGTTACAGGACTCCATCTTGTTTGGTCAAGAGAGAAATTTGCAAACTCACCCCATCCTCAGCCTTTCCCCTTCTCAAGGCCAGTGGAGCCCTTCTTTAGAATAGCTACAATTCATTAAGCTGCTTACAGCAGCATCTTATCAAAGTATAGCATAGGTGGTGGTCACAAGACACTGCCCAAGGACCTTTCAGCCTGGGCATGGTACCATCCTGTCTGGGAAAAGACACGAAGCCCCCATTCCCAGCTCCTCAAACCCAGGCATAAATATCCCTGTAAAGTAGGAGGGTCACTTGAACTGGGCCCAGCCTGTCACCACTGGACCACTCACCATCTGCAGACATTTTTAAGTTTCTTTCCCTGCTCGTATCTTGTAAACTCTTTGCTTTTACTTTGCCATCACTTTCCCTATAATAAATTTCTTCTGTCTTTGAGCATGCCTCCAGGTAAGTTCTTTGGTTTCCTTGTGCTTACTCAAGAGAAGGTCTTAGCCTTCCTGGGTAATTCCCTGAATATAACCTCTTTTGCATCTTCCAGGGACACATGAAAGGGCCTTGGTCATCCATGGATACATTTGGTCTTCACTCAGGCATTTCTTTCATCCTTTCACTCATTCATTCAACACCAAATGACTTATTATGTGTGGGACACTGTGCTTAGACACAAGCAGCAGAAAGTGACTTATAATGATAAATGCTCTCTGCAGAAGTTTGTTCAAAGTACAACAGAAGCAGAAAGGGAGGTTAGTTTTTAGCTATGCTTTTAGGAGGTGATAGGGATGAGGAAGGCTTCTCAGAGGACATAATGCATTTCAGCTAGGCCTCAAAGGATAAGTAGGAGACCATGAGCAGAGAAAAAGAAGAGCAGCAACATCCTGAACTGGGAACAACATGAACAGGAGAGGAGGGAGACCAGAATATTTATCAGTTGCTTGGTTGCCTGGGGCTGGTTCTGAAGTAGAGAGGGGTAGATGAGGCCAGAAATTGGACTAGAGCAGTTCTAGAAAGCCTGAGTGCCATTCTGAGAATGGGTTCATTTTCATAAGGTTAACAAGGATCCATAACAGATTTTTAGACAAGGGCATGTCATGATCTGTGTTATCCAGACTGCTAATTTCACATTTATTTGTCCATTCCTCTGCTCTCTGACATAAGGCTGGGCTCATCTGTGGGCAGAGACACAGTCTCCCCATCCCAGCACAGTGCCTCAACATAGGAGGAGCTCAGCAAATAGTAGCCTGAGAGAGTATTCAAATTCCAAAAGCCAGGCCGAACTGAGCCTCCTCAATTGCCAACTCCTTCAAGCTGGAAGGTGAGAATGGAGAACTGCAGAGAGCACTGATCACAATAAGTCACTTTCTGCTGCTTGTGTCTAGCACAGTGTCCAACACATAATAAGTCACTTGGTGTTGAATGAATGAGTGAATGGATGAAATAACGCCTGAGTGAAGACCAAATGTATCCATGGATGCCCAAGGCCCTTTCATTTTCACCTGGATGATGCAAAAGAGGTTATATTCAAGGAATTCCCAGGGAAGTTAAGACCTCCTCTTGAGTAGGCATGAGGAGACCAAAGAACTTACCTGGAGGCATGCTCAGGGACATAAGACATTTATTATAAAGAAAGTGATGGCAAAGTAAAAGCAAAGAGTTTACAAGATATGAACAGGGAATGAAGCTTACAATGTCTGCAGACAGTAAGTGGTCCAGTGGCAACCATGTGTAGGTAACTGTGTTCATGGGGCAGGGACACTAGCCTGACTTCCTTGATGAGGAGTTACAGACTACAAGCAGGAGAGGAAAGTGGAGGCCTGTCATGGAGAATGAAAGTCAGGAATGAAAATGTGAATTTTATATGGTGGGAAACAATGCCAACCAGTAAGTCTGCTGGAAGCTCCTGGCTGGACCTTCTTCATAATTCCCCCCAAGCTAGTGGAAGTTCCAGCCAGGGGGCATGCATACCCACCTTCTGGCTTCAGGAAGTATCTACCCAATCATGAAGCAATTGCTCTGAGTTCCAGCTACTCGTTACTTCTTGAAGTTGCCCAGCTACACCTGGACCAAGGGACCCACAGGTTGGAAAGCCAGAAAGCTAAGAGCTCATGTATTCCCAAGGCTACATGGTGGTGTGTGTGGGGTAGCAGCATCCTTACCCTGTACGCTTATGGAAGAAATCTAAACTGTCTCCACATTGTGGAAAATGTCCATATTGAGATAGAAGCCAGACATGAGCCCTCATCAGCAGCCCCACCTAGCAACCAAGCTCAGCTCTCTGCTGAGCAATTTAGCAGGGTTTGTTTTCCTAGTCTATCGAGACCCGAAACACTGTAACAAGAGTTGTGTTTTCTTTTTTTCTATTCTGGGAAGGGAGATAACAATAAGTAAAACTAGGCACCAATTCAGTATCAGCACTTGATGCTTCTCTTTAATTCTTACAACCACCCTGCCAGGTAAGTATGATTACTATTATTTGCATTGAGGCTGAAAAACTGAGGTTTAGTCTTATCCTGTTACATGGAATCCTATGGTAGAATGTGGATTAAACCCCAATTCAACCAACTCCAATCCCGTGCTCACCCACCACAATGAGTTGCTGTAGGAACAAGCAAAGCAGCATCAACCTGCTATAGTCTTCCTGGGACTCCAGCAACAACTCCTACTGTTACCAGGGCCATTCAAGAAATTACAAAGGAGTCCATTTCGAAACTGGTCTCCTGGAACCAGCAAACACACAAGAAAACAACATGTTAATTGTCCCTAGGCTTACAGGAAGGAGACACAGGTGCAATCCAAGCAGACATTTCCTGTTTGGTGTGTTACCATCCTGAGGTCCAAAGGCCTCCCAGGCCACACCCTCCTCAGGTGACCCTAACTTTTACCTGGTGACACCTGAGTACAACTCTGCAATGATGTCTTCTGTTGGAGGAATTCAAACACAGTTAATTGTCAGAAGGAATGGGACCCACTGGAGTGGCTGCACAGCAGGTCACTCTATGAGGCAGAATAAGAGCTGGGGCTAGGATTCACGTGCAGGAACTGAGGTTGCACCCTGGCACAGCCACTGTGAGACCTTGGGCACACCATACTATCTTCATGTCCCCCATGCCAGAAACTTGGGTGTCATCCTGGATTCTGTCTTCTCCCTCATCTCCCATGCCAAATAGGACACCTAAACCCCATATTGACCTCTGTAATAGCTCTTGAATCTGTCCTTTCCTCAAATTAGTTTGGGACTTGGCATATCTTATTTGAATTATTGCACTAACATCCAGATGGTCTCTCAGCCTCAAGGGTGTCCCCATTCTATCCATCCTCCAACCCAGAGGGATCATTCTGAAACACATGTCTATACACCTCACCTTCCCGCTCTTTTGGACCCCATATCTCTCAGGGTAAAGTTCAATCTCTTTGGCTTAGTTTCCATGCCCTGTGTCTGTCTCCCGCCCTCCTCCTGGCTTCTTCTCCAGCCACGAAGCACATGAGCCCTTGCATTTCTCTGAATGCATCATACTATTACATGACCATGTAAACTGCTGGGCTCTCTCCTTAAAAGGCCCTTCCCCATTGCTAACTCCTGCCAGCCCATTCAGAACTCAACTCAAACACCACCTCTTCCAGGAAGTTCTCTCTGATAATCCTAATCTGATTTAGGTGCCCTCTTGTTAAGGTCCCAGCCTCTTGTGCTATCCTCTATTATAGCACTTACAGCTGTTGATGTCTCTTTGCTGTCTCCTGCACTAAGTTCTCGGGAGTAGAAGAACTAAGCCCAGATGGGGACCTAGTTGATGTTGCATCTGCAGCAGCCACCTATATACCCAGCACAGTGCTTGAAATGCAACAGGAATTTCTCAATGGAAAAATGAATGGGTCTCCTCCTCAGTAAAAGGTCCATCTGATTATCTGAGTAGATGACCAACAGGTTTTGGGAACTGACTACTTGAACGCCAGTTAATACAAATGATCAACAGCCCCTAGAAGTAGTTTTATGGCCACAGTTTGGGGTGGGGTGGGGGAAGACAGCCAGGGGTCGCTGGGCTCCAAGTTTTTCCATCTCCGGCCAAGGGATGCCAGAGACTGTGCTGTGCTGGGTCTGGAGAGCCAGCCAGCTTCAGCAATCCTCCTCAGGTGCCTCTGGTTCTCTGGCTCAGGAGTCAGCTCTTGCTTACTGAAAAGTTCAGTCTTGCAAAATGTGTTTGGTTTCAAGTTTCCTTTCACTGGTCTGCTTATTTAAAAATTATATCCCACCCACTCCCTGAAAGAGATAAGGTATCTGTGGTCTGATTAATAAGCCTCTTGCAGCCAGCCCCTAGGTGTAGAAAACTTGATAATGTGACATGAAACTGAGGAGGTGGACACTTTCTGTGGCATCATTTCTCTCTGCAGAGCTCAAGGTCTTCAATTATAAGATGAGGGAAGAGAATCAGGTGGGCTCTGGGCCCCTTGTAGCAATGATACCCTGAGAGACTGGGTCCCTTCTTCCTAAACTCTGATTATTTTCTGTGGCCCCACTCACTGACCTTGAGATCAAAGTGAGCAATCTTCTTGGTGTGAAGGTAATTCACTCCATCCAGGATCTGCTTAATGAAGCTGGTGGCCTCCTCCTCACTCAGTGACTCCTTCTGGGCCAGGAAGTCGAACAGCTCTCCTCCAGACACTCTGCAAGACATCAGTGCAGAGGGCACAGGCCCAGTCAGTCCTATGTGTGTGAGCAAGACTGGTGATATAGCCCCTAAACTCCTCAGCTACTTTATCAGTATCCCCCTCATCCATCTCAGTGGCTTTGTTCAGCAGCACCAGGGATTGACTTTGATTCTATTTGCTATGTTCTTCCCTTTGGATCACAGGTCAGGGATCATCCTCAGGGTGTCCCCAGAAGGGATCCTGGTCATCCTAGGTCCAGTTCCTGGTTATCCTGGTGTTAGCTCCTGCTCCAATATGACTAAGGAGGCAGAAAGTAGAAATGAGTGCTGTGGATTAACAAATGGAAAAAAATATTGGGCCAGGAGACTGCAGATAGAGGTTCTAGTCTAGCCCTGGCCACAGACCATGCACAACTCACTTCTCTCCAAGCCTTAGTTTCCTCACCTGCAAAATGAGAAGACTGGGCAAGATGATACCTAAAGCCACTTTTCTTTGATTTTATAAAAGATGTCCTCTCCACAGGCCCACAAGAATATAGGCATGGTTTCTAATTAAAACATATTAAACCAGAGGCGGGGCAAGATGGCGGACTAGGCAGAAGGATTGCACAGACCCTCTTCAACAAAGAAAAGGGAAACCAATTAACACAGACACAGAAGAT